TATATAGTTTTTAAAACTTTCTGTGTGGCCTGGACAGCATAGCTCAGTGGTTGAGCATCGACCTATGAACAAGGAGGTCATGGTCGGATTCCAGGTGAGGGCATATGTCCGGGATGCAGGGCTCCATCCTCAGTGTGGCAATGATTCTCATCATTGAAGTTTTTATCTCTCCCTCTCCCTACCTCTCTGAAATGAATAAAAATATACATTTTTGAAAAAGCCTTCTGTATTAAAAAAAATTTACTAGTGTACATTTTAAACCATCGCTTCCTCTCACTTGATAAGTTTAATTTTGTTCATTTATTTAAACAGACACAAAAAGGAATAAAATTCACATCCTTTATTAGTGCTCTGGCATTGGTCTCTGTTAAGCTGAAGCAACTGGCTAAGTGACCGCTAGAAATAATGTTAAAGTTCCTTCTGTGGTAACTTCCTATAAATGCAAACAAACAACTCTCCATCACATTCTATAAGTTTTATAGTTTTCCAAAAAAGCCAGAACCCAAGAATAACATGTGGCCTGCCCAAGGTCTCAGAGGTGACGGGGACATTGCCAAGAGCCAGGCCACCAACCACTGACCCCAAACCCACTCCTTCCACACAGCACAAGAGAGAACAACTCCCTAGCTAGGGATCATCAGGACCTTAAGGCCATCTATGTTTTAATTCCCTTTCATGATATTCCTGCGAAAAGGCCAAAATAAGTGCTGTGCTTTTACAGGGCTGTAAAATGGCTGTGGGAGAACAGCCTTGGAGTGAACCTGATCTTGGGTGTGTGTGCATGGTTCATGACTCCGCCGTTTAGTGCACATGAGTCACCCACAACCCAGCGAGGCTCCAACATAAACCATGTCCTCAGGCCTCACCCTCAGCCCCTTCCACAGGCTTATTCACACATGATGTGCTAGCCTGGCACCCACAACTCCCAAATCATCTGTGAGTCAGAGCTCGTTACACAGGACACTTCAGGGTTGCTATCCTAATATTTGGCCATTATTTTCTTAATTGAACCAAGGAAAGGAACCTGGGAAATGAGGGGGCCAAGCTGTTAGTTTTGCAGTGAAGGATATGAAGCAGGACCAAAGGCACCAAGAAGAAAACATTCCAAGTGGAGCTTTCCCTAGAGGAGGTCAACAGCTCTGCAGCCAGACTCCTGAGTGCCAAGCCCAGCTCTGCTCTCAGTATATGTGAGATCTTGGACATATTACCCCTTCCTCAACTTCCTCGTCTGTAAATGAAAATAACATAGCATCTGCTTTGCAGGGCTTGTTCTTAGTTACACAGTGGTCGGCAAACCGTGGCTCTCGGGCCACATGCAACTCTTTGGCCCCTTGAGTGTGGCTCTTCCACAAAATACCACAGCCTGGGTGAGTCTATTTTGAAGAAGTGGCATTAGAAGAAGTTTAAGTTTAAAAAAGTTGGCTCTCAAAAGAAATTTCAATTGTTGTTTTGTTGATATGTAGCTCTGTTGACTAATGAGTTTGACGACCACATTATTAGTAAAATACCTAGAATGCATGTATAAATAAGTGTTATTATTATTTTGCCTTCAGAATATTTTGGCTTAAAGTATGACATCTATGTCATAAATATATGTATGAAGTTTGCCCATTAACCCATGGCAATAAAGACCACCATGAAACTGAATTTGAATAACTTTGTTAATTATAAGTTTACTCCGTATTTGATATCTGAAGTTGAAAGACAAAATAACTTAGACACAAGTAACCAAAATAAACCTCAATGACATCTCCTGTGAATTTAAAAAATACAATATTTGCCCTGACTAGTTTGGTTCAGTGGATAGAGTGTTAGTCTGTGGACTGAAAGGTCCCAGGTTCGATTCCGGTCAAGGACATGTATGTTGGTTGCAGGCACATCCCCAACAGGAGGTGTGCAAGAGGCAGCTGATTGATGTTTCTCTCTCTTCGATGTTTCTAACTCTCAATCCCTCTTCCTTCCTCTCTGTAAAAAATCAATAAAATATATATATATTTTTTTAAATATATTTTTATTGATTTTGTACAGAGAGGAAGGGAAAGAGATAGAGAGTTAGAAACATCGATGAGAGAGTCATCGATCAGCTGCCTCTTGCACACCCCCCACTGGGGATATGCCCGCAACCAAGGTACATGCCCTTGACCGGAATCGAACCCGGGTCCCTTCAGTCCCCAAGCCGATGCTCTATCCATTGACACAAACCGGTCTCGGCAATAAAATATATTTTTAAAATAAATAAATAAATAATACAATATTTAATAATTTATTTTTTCATGAAAGTCTACCTTAGAACTAAGTCTATGCATCTCTTCAACTTTAAGGTCCATGAGCTTATTTTTCTTCTTGCTAAAGTTCAAAGTCTAATTTCTAACACAGGTTACCACTGTAATAAACTCTACAAGCTTTAAAATGACAGGTTGAAAGATACAATTTTTTAGAGTTATGAATTAATAGCCATATATGTCAAAGACTTTGAAAGTGCCAACTTTTTCATATTTATAGATATATTATTGAAATGATAAAAAATGAACTGCAGAAAGAGGAAAGAACCAAGAACCGCATATAATGAATCAAACATACTTAGCAAGACATGTACAGACACTTTGGTGTGCATCTCTTTTATTACATTCCATTAATCAAATATTGCTAAAGACATCCATCTGAGCAAAGTGTCACAATGTTATTCTATAAAAACATTCTTTTGAAAAGAGTCCATCCTGACTTTCATATCAACTATATTTGTCTTAAGTGATTGTCAGGCCAGCATTTCTCAGAAATTAAGACAATTTCTGTATGTGTCTCCTGAGCTCCCTCTCCCTCCACCCTCTTCCTCCCACCCCACTCCCACCACCTGGCTTTTTTACAAAAAATAATTTAGTTCGAGAAAATGGACAAACTCTGATAATGACTCAGAAAAACCTGTGTATAAATTATTTAAATTTTTGAAAGCATGCACAATACCAATTCTAGTTCTTAAATTTTCACAAATTAGAACAGAAAATTCTCACTGTTTAGCAAAATAATTAATCTGTCCTTAAGGGGATTTATTTCCTAATGGGACGTAGACCCGATGGTTATACCTAACTATGATGAGCTATGTTTTCATTTTTAGGCTGATAAACTACCTAAGTACTGCAATTTTCGTATGTAATCATTTATAATGTGCATTTGGATTTTTGTTTAAATTCTATTAGAGTGCTACTTTATAGAACACTAAATCTATCACTTAATATTCTACTTAATATTGAGAGGAACACACATAAGAGCAAACAAATGAAGAATATGATGAACATCTCATGATCAATTGCCATCAGACTATGCAAATCATAGTATATTATTAACTTCCTTCTATTATAGACAGATATTTCAGAAAACATAACAATGATGTACTTAAAAATAAACTTTTTTTTTCTTTAAATAATCCATGTTATTCAACTAATACATCCAGATAATGTTTATAGTCCTCTACATCTATGGCTTGCTTTTGCCATACTTAAGCTGAATGTTCAAACAATTTTGGTGCCAATTTTTTTTTTAACTTGAGAAAAAAAACTTTAAAAAATTTTAGGTCTAGAAGATTATCTTAGTTACTATGCAATTGAACAACCAAAATCTAGTAACTGGAAATTACTAGCTGAACTTGAGACTGATTTTAATACCTTTATTTTAAAAGACAATCTATATACAAAATTGATAACATGTAGAAAGAGGATAAATGTATCCACAAACTTCTTAGTCAACCATCTATGAAAAGCATTTGGAAAAAGGACAAATTAGGCCAATTGTACATTTGCTTTCATATAGATTCAATTTTCTCTTTCGATTTGAGAAGAAAGTTTTTAGTACTTATATAAACCCTTTCCCCCTTAAAAAAAAATTCCAACTAACAAATAAGCAAGTATTATTCAGTTTAGTATAATATAGCTAGAAACTTCTCTTTTAAACTTATAGTAACTGCATAGGAAAAAAAAATCCAGTGTGTAAAGGATAATTTTTAGACTGTTTTGAAGCCACCTCCAACATCTGGTTCTCTTTCTGTAAGACATCTAGAAGGCAAGTTCTTTTGTTCTGATCCTTGGCACATCCAGAGTGACCAGCCCAACTTATTGCTGTTACCCCCGTACAAACCTAATCAGGTCTATTTTTAACTAATTTCCATTAACCGTGATCTGTTAGCAGATTTCTTGCTTGAATATAAAAGAACAAATAATCTGTTTTAATTATTTTCTTAAAAATCACTTTCATCATTTTGTCCAGGGACAAAATTTGAACTATTTCTCCCTTCTGGTTTTATGTTGTATACCTGGATTTACTTTACTCTTACTAGTAACTTTTAAACTTAAAAAAAAAAATTGTCATTTGATTGCACCAGTGTTCTGGATGTCACTCAAATAATAAAACATGATATTATTTGATTTTTTTTTAGATTAAAAATGAACTTTATCAAGAAAGCTGACTAATTTTCCTTAAATATCCTGGAAAAGCATAGAAGGCTTGGATTTCAAACAAATATAAAGTGTGTTTATGATTTGGATTTTAACCAGGGTAAGAAGTATGTATCTGCTATTGCATCCAATGACTACAATCTATTCCTCTGTTCTATGACAGATGAATACAAGGAACAATTTATGTGTTTTTCTCTATTCCTAACCACAGTTCTACAAGGTAACTACATGCCTCTTATCTGACCAGTGAGGAAATGGAGGCAGCAAGAATGGAGTGACTTGCTCAAGGTCACAGGGGCCAAGTAGGTAGACTCAAGATCAAATAAAATCCAGGCCTTTGTAACGCCTAAACTAGGGGTGTCGAACTCAATCAGAGAAGGGGCCAAAATCTAAAATCCAGCCCAAATCGCGGGCCGAATGGTTTACTGAACAGTCATAAACTGTCATTGTGATGGAAACGCAGCAGAGTGCAGTGATGACAGCGTGGTGCGGGCCACATTGCAAGGCCTGGCGGGACGGATTTGGCCCGCGGGCCTTGTGTTTGACACATGTGGCCTAAACCGTGTTCCTGGGAGTCTGTGGGCTGCTGGGCTGAGTGCACTCAGTCAGTTCTCCTTCATAATGACTTGTTAGAAGCAGTCAGGGCTCAGGGAGGTTCTTCTATGAAAGGAAGTTTGAAAGAGCCCCACTGGTTTGGCCCAAGGAAGCTGTCAGTGTTCAGGGAAAGCTCAAAATTAGGCAGACACTGTATGAGGAGATTTCCTAAAAGGTCTTTTGCCAAGTGTTTGGACATAACAATCAAAATAAATTTTTAAAAGCCAAGGAACTACCGTGTTTCCCCGAAAATAAGACCTAGTGCATGGAAAGATAAGACATCCCCTGAAAATAAGACCTAGCGCAACTTCGGGAGAAAAAATTAATATAAGACACTGTCTTGTTTTCGGGGAAACAGGGTACTTGCCTGTGTAAATCCACCTCTGTTTTTCACTTTTTAGTAATCTAACAAGATTACAAAAAAAAAAAAAAAAAGGTACCAAGTAGAAAATATATAATTTAAAACAGAGACCATCAGCTAGAAGCCTGTGGCCTGAAATGTTGTTTCAACCACACAAAAGTTTATATATTCTTTTTAATTTAGTTTCAATGCTTTAAAAATGAGATCCTTTTTTCCAAAAATTCCAGATTTCTGGCTCCCCTTAAGAATTTGGGAAATCTGGCCACCCGGTACCCATAGTAGAGCAATTGGCTAGAGCAAAATGTGTGTCACTCAAGTTGAGAAAGGCCACATACTGTCCAGCTCGCCATTACTTCCTTCCTCCCCACCCACATTTCAATATGTTCAATTATGTTACTCACTTGGAACCTATGTGCATTCTCGAGAGTAGAGTGCTGGCCCAAAGCCTTTGTGGGATCCTTGGAGACCTGGTCCAGACTCAACTTTGCACACACTCCTTGCCCAGCTTTCCTTGCTTCAGTACCAACAACTCTCCATAAAGTTGGGGGAAGCTGATGGAAAAGAAAGAAGTGGGCTTCCACAGGAAGGAAAAGTCTGCTTTTCAGTAACTCATGCTTCTTTTCAAACAAGGTGAGCAGCCATTGCCCTCCTAATCCCCATTTTCCAGTGCGGAGGCTGCAGCTACGAAGGTTGGTTTGAGTCCAAAACAGGGAAGACTTTCTCAACAGGCACCATCTCTCCCAGTAGGAGGAGCAGGCAGGTAAAGTAACCTGCCAATTCTCAGTGCCTCTTCGGAGCTACAGAAGGAAGACCTGGGAGTAAAATAAGCCAACAAATGGGGAGAAAGTCTATTCAGAATGAGATTCCCTGGTTGGATTCCTCCTCTTTTCTCTGTTTGCATCCGTATAGCCCCCCATGACTTTCTCACTCATCCAGAGTTTTGAAACAGAGCAAACACTCAGGAAAAATTGGCAGGTGATTTCAAGTCATTACCTGCCTGCCACGCTAATTACAAGCCATTACCTGCCAGCAGCATGCAGGTTTGTACAGTTTGTGAGACACAGGGAAGGTCTACTTAACTGGAAGGATCGTTTATCTCCGACTAAATAATGCCAGCATTGGCAGCCCTATGCCTACCGACCGGTGCTGCACAATGTTCAGCTGGCACTCCTTCTGCAATGAGCATCCTTGAAGATGCACTCACAGGAGGACATCCATACTTTTCCGCCATTGATCGCTATTTGCCTCAAATTTCACACTGTTATGTACGAAAGGGAAAACACACAAATCTCATTTTGCAATTTTCCTTACTATAACAACTCTTGGAAAACATACAAAATACAGAGGGAAGAAAACTCTACCACTTTGAAAGTGCATTTTATAATAAATGTGGTTTTAGATTGCCACCTGTTATTAACCATCAATAAGATAAAGTTCCATCACAATCTTCATTTCCACTTGCAGCATGGATATTGCTAATGTATGTAAATTATGCACGCCTCTATTAAATGAAGGTCCATCAAAATTTGTCATTTCTAATCCATACTGTGTGAAAATTGTGACACAATGGATAATTAAAAATTTTAATGCTTTCCAGTTACTTTTTAAATTATAAAGAGCCCAGTTCTGCTGCTTTCTGCTTCAAGTTTCATTTTGTTGTATTCTCCGATCTCAGCATAAGAAATACAGGAATTTACTAGCTTTAAATTGCTGTAGTCAAAACCCCATTATTTTACTCTTCTGTATCTTGGCAATGAACACAAGACACACCAGGTATGTCACACATTGTATTTTGACTGAACTTCGAGGATAATTTACAGGATTTTTCCAAAAATGACACTTCCCTTTTATTCAGCAGCTTGAACACAAAGACAGAGCACTCTCCTGACTGCAAATACAGCAATTATACCAAGTTATGCTTTGACACTGTTACCACAGGCAAGTGGCCAAAGAGCATCCACAGTCAAAATATCTAAGCAAGTTAACAAGCTCCCTTTACTCTCCACAGAGCGGGAGAAGAAAGGGAATTCAACCCCTGAGAGATGTTAAAATGAAGGAGACAAAAGGCTGTTGGTGTTTGTTAAAGAAAATGGTGTCAGTGTCTTGAGCTGATCAAGGTGTAGAATCTGAGGCCCTGACAGATGCCCAGGACTGCATTTGACGGGAAGCCTTTTTCCAGGTCAGATCTGCTTGATGATCTCAACTAATGAATGACCGGCCTGCAAGCCCTTGCGTTGGAACTACACCTTGCTTTCATGGGGTGGTCATATTGGTCTGCCCTTCCTCTCACCTCCCCGCTCCCCCATCCTTTGCAAGACTGCATTTTGCCTCCTCTTTTTTTTTTTTTTTTCCAGCTCCATTTTATAAAATATCCCCACGTTTACCACACAAAAGACATTGAAACTAATTAAGTAAACTCCAAAGAACTATTACAAATCATTTTGCTGCAGCCAGAGATATCAGATTTAATTAGGTGATCGGTGTTGATGGGGGGACAAAAACAAAAGCTATCTCCTGTTTGAAAAGGTTCAGGCCCTATAGAGACCCAGTCTTCCCACTATGACACAAATAATAATTGAGCATTTCTTTTTTTAAAAAAGAAGGAGACAGGCATGAAAAGAGTTTTCTGTTGGAGACAAAAGCTTTCATCGGAGGTTTGTTTTCTCCTTTTGCCAGGTGATTTAAAAAAAAAAAAAAAGCACACCATTTACAAAGAAATAGCTAGAACCAGCATTGCTATCACCATGACACAGAATATAAAGTGCTTCTAACGAGCATAATTTTTACAAGTGATTAATCAAAATCTATTTAGCCAGTCAACCCCAATGATTATCAACAGGCTTGCTTAATATTATAGTTCAAGGAAAATAGTTTTTCTCCCCACGCCCAGGATACCTGTCACATAGCAGCTTTTCTTCAGTGTGTAGTCAAAGTTAATACACTAGTTAAAATATCAGAATTTTAGTGAGATAGATTTCTTCTTCATAAAGAAAGTGAAAGAAACACTGCTGGCCCCACTGGAAGAGCAGCATTGTGGAGTAAAGAGAACCCTGGTTCTGTCATTCACTAGGAGCATGCTATTTTGATATATTGGCAATAAATAACATAGGATAGGATAATTACTTTTGAATCAATCTTTATCATGAACAAGTTGTCAAACTCTGATGCGCAGATAGGGTGGATCTTAAAAGATTATAGTCTTTGCAAAGGAAGGTAGTTTGGCTTTATTACAATATTTATTGAATTTGAAGTTCAAAATGAGATGCTTCTTTAAACTTTGATTTGGCAGACATATGACAGCCAGACTTCTTTTGACAGTGGAAATCCATGTCATTAGTGTCTTAACTCTTACCCCTACACACATGCGCACACAAACACACACGTAGAGAGATTATGAAGAAAATCAAATACATACTGGTTTCCACATGATCAACAGTGGGTCTCCCTCATTTCTAACTGATATTCATGGTGTGAAGCCGCTCTGAATAACGGCTCTGTTATATGCTGTTGTTAAACAATTTTCCTGGAATTTTTGCCCAACAAACACACATAACTTCATGTGACGGAAGAGCCCTAAAGCTAGTCTGAAACAGTCATACAAGTTACGCAAAAGGCCAAGGCAATCAATACTTCCCGGGTTTAAGTACACCTCAGAAATCCTTTCTTCAGCTCCTAAAACGTTGAAAGGAAAATAATTTTCTCCGTTGGCATTTAAATGGTATCATTCCGTGTGGAGAGAGTCACTGAGACATTTGTTGGAAGTCAACAAAAATAATTTGGACATATTTTGAACTTATTTTATCTGACTCCTCGACATTTAATTTGGTGTGAAAAACGGCAACGGTAGAAAACAGATGTTAAGGGGCCAAGAATACAGCAGAGGTCAAAACAAACATAAAACACCGCTTCCATTTCTGAGAGGGGGGGGCAAAAATGATTCCGCCAGCAACAGGTTCCATGTGAAACCTGCTTTTTTATTGTTCTGCTTGGGATATCTGTAGACTGCACAATGCAATGCTGTCTGCCGTGGAGCAGTACCTCTCAGCACTGGTAATTTAAGACTTTCTTCTCCGTAATACACTGAACCATCATAACCTGTCTCTTCCCATTTAGTTTAACCTACAACCACCACATACTGATTTGGCTGTGTGTGGCTTTTTCTATTGCCATTTATTACTCTGCTCGACTCCTGAAATTCTGTTTGCAATTTAAGGCCACAAATTAGAAGCGTAAGTCATCTGTTTCCTATAATCCCCCTGTCAGGACTGGAATCACATTTGGAGCTCAGCACTGAGTCTGGGCCCGGGCCCTTACAGACTTTCTGATTGGCTGGCCTGGCTAAAAGCTGCAACAGAATAAATAAAATGCTCTGGAAAAATAGAGCTTTTGATCAAAATAATAAATAAAAAAAAGAGAGAGAGAGAGAAATAAAAGAAACTGGGTTGCAAATATTTTCCTCTCCCTTTCATAATAATCAAGTCTGTTGGTACAATGGTAGGTTGCTTCTGTTTTCTCCAGTAAATAACAGAACTGAATATTACTTCTTTAAGAGCAAAATGCTAAGTATTTAAGATTCCATTTGGGAGAAGAGTGTAATCCTGCTTCAATCCACTATGTCTTTTTTGCTGCATATGGAATATCTGTTCTAAGTCCTGCCCTGTTTCTGGCAAAATACAGTTTTTATATTGCAGACTGACTAATTAGCCAGGTATTTTTTAATAGTGTCATAGATCTTTTGCTAAGCTAAAAATCTCTGAGGTTCTGACCCATTACCAGGCTTTCCCTTTTACAATATTTTGCCAAATGTTACTTAGTACCCCTGGATTATATACAAATGCTTCCATTTATCTTTCTAAAAGGCATCTGTCCTTTAAATGGCATAAGAATTTCAAAAATTTGGGAATATGACTGTTTCTTCTTTCCTTCAGCTCATTTTAATAGATCTCCTACCAATCCTTCTGGGGCTTTTGGGACTTTTACATTTCCTATTTTAAAGTATTTCTATTTTCTTTCCATTTTACTTTAAATGCAAACATATCAGATTATATAGTAAAACTGCAAAATAAAAAAATAAAAGAGAGAGAAAGAAATACAGAATAGCCACATCTAAATATTCTGAGTTCTCGGTGCAATTTTAAACTTTAAGAAATCATCGTTCATTAACAGGGATAAAATCTAACAGAGAGATTCATGTTTATAAATATACTAGCTATACCGGGGCCAAAAGGTTGGAAATAAATGGATCAGCATTAGCTGAATGCCCCCAAAGTAGAGTTGTTCTTTCAAAAGGAAACAAAGTTCATGGGGAAAATTATATATTTAATGCAAGCTAAATTTTAGCCAAAAATTAAAATTAAGTTTCAAATATTAGCAATTTTTAGAGACAGTTTTAAGAAAGACAAAGGAATTAAAAAAAAAAAAAAAAAAAACAAGAGTCATAATAAACCATTTGAAAGTTACATGATTATTTACAGTAGCCCTTCTGGAAATGTTTTGTGCTCCTGTAACTTCAATTTGATCTCTTCATGTTTTCACATCCATCTTTGCAGGGTATTAGTCCATAGTGATTTCTGGTTATTTAAAAGAAACAAAGGAGGCAAACTCGCCAAGACGTTGAGGTTTCAAAAAAAAAAAAAAAGAGAAAGAAACAAATAGCTACTGTACATGCGCACTCTGATTATTTTCTAGATTTTTTTTTTCAACCATACTTTCTGTGTTGCAGATTTATTTAATAAACAAATGCATCTTCTGGGCCCATAATACACAAATGCATGCTACTGTTAATTCATTTACAGAATGCGCCCTGATGGCCCTAAGCAAAAGAGCAATCTTGTTATAATGAATGTGTACTATTCTTAATAAGCACACTGTAGCAACGACCCGCGCTGCACACAAAAGCACACCCAAACCATTTGGTTTGTTCCCAGAGCTCGGACACCGGTACCACTATTAAGTAGCTGTGCGCTGGGAGAGCAATCCAGTATTGGCATGCAAATGAGCGCACGGAGAGGCCAGATGCTGCTTTTTAGAAAGGGAAAGTGCCTCCACTCACATTTGGGGGGAGAGAGAACCTGTGAGTGTTCCAGTGCAGGGCAGCTTGGAGATTGTGTCCCTTTATGTGACTGACAGGGGTGGACCTGCTGGGGGGATGGACCTAGGAAAGATGAATAGAGAACAGAACTTGGCAAACACGTGAACATTCATGCGCTCCATATTTCCATAGGTCCGCTGGAGATTGCCCACCACGTTTTTCTGTTTATTTTGTTACACACACACACACACACACTGTATTTTTATTGTTGACACTATTACAGATGTTTAATTTGTATGTATGCTTTTTTTAAGGGAGGAGGGTCTTCTTTTTTCAGGTCCAAAATGATGCTTCTTGTGTTGAAAATTTAAGAAATGTTATCTCTCATTTTTAAAAATGAAGCTATTGTAGTCATAGGAGTCCAATGATTCTCAAAAGCTTTGTCATTTCAAAAAATATATATTAGGTTATTTAAAAGAATGTGGATTTTTCTTTCCAAACCAGCTCATCAAGCATGATATTCATCTGTGTTTGTGAGCTTTCGTAATTTGTGGCGGACAATTGACCCATTAGTCGCTGCCTTTATCTTATCATAACATTTGACTGCCTTGAGGATAGAGTAGGAGGGGAAGCCAGGACCCAAGAGAATGAACCTGGACTTGCAATAACTTTGGTAGATTGTGTTCCAATCAGAATCAGGACACTGTTTTTCCTCTTGGCTCGTATTTCATTTTCCTTTCTTCTCAATGTTTAGGGAGTCATTGATTTATTTGATTTCTTGTAGATAGTTGGAGATGATAAGGATTGAAGTCTTGGGTATGTGTTTTGAGAAAAAGACTAATGAAAAGGGAGCAGAAACACCCATACAAAGTAAAAATTCACAAGGGGAGAAAACCAGATTCCTGTGACACAGCTAATTAAAATACATACATATAATATGTCCCCTTTTTAATAATGGCATTTGGGGACAGAGCCTTCCTCTACCCAGCTTATTAATCATGTAACAAGAGAATTTACCATATATCTCATTCCTCTGAACATTTATCTGAATACTTACTATTGCCTTGATACTGCTCAAAGCTCCAAGAAGAGTTGTTCCTCACAGGGAATAAAAAGGCTCATGGTATTGGCCAAATCTACACATAAACCTCCTGGTCATGAGTTATTAATTATAAACCCACAATAAATAAATCTTCTCTGCAGAAATACTGACTTTAGTAAAAATAGAAATGGATATAAATATATCTGGTGGGATTGCTTCAATTATTTTTCTTAGTTGATCATAGCAGTATCGTTGAATTTCTTTGCAGCCTTTTCCCATCAGTCCATTAGTTTATAAACTATATTTATACACTTAATAGAAATTTATTTGAACACCCTATTAGTTTCCCAAGACTATCTTCATCACAAAGGATCACAAATCAAGTGTCTTAATTCAATAGAAAATTGTCCTGTTACAGTTCTGGAGGCTAGAAATCCAAAATCAATGTGTTGGCAGGGCTATGCTCCCTTGAAAACTTCTCAAGGAGGATGTGTCCCTGTCTCTTCAAGCTTCTGATAGTCCCAGGCATTCCTTGCATATGGCAGCCAATTCCAATCTTTGCTTTTGTCTTCACATGGCCTTCCTTCCTCTGTCTGGGTCTCTGTCTCTTCTTCTCTTTATAACAACATCAGTCATATTACCTAGGGGCCCGCCTTAATTCAGTAAGACCTCATTTTATCCCGATTAGATCTGCAAAGTCACTATTTCCAAATAAAGTAATTTCCACACGCACTAGGAGTTAGGAGTTGAACATCTTTTGACGGGGAAATAATTCAACCCATTATGCATACTTGCTGAATACCAGGCACTTGGATTTGGGAATTTTATCAATGGCGATAAGATCTTATAAAAGCTGTTGTGGAATTCATTATAAGAATTTTACTCAAGACATATGTACTTCATTACATAGAGTTCTCCAAAAGAGAACTTGGGAGAATGTGTTCTCAGGACTCTGTGTGAGGAATCATTGAGTTTCTTCCAATTGTCTTTTTTAACATTATATGCTATTAGTCTCATAACTGATCTTATATTTGTCTTTGAATTGGCTGCTGTCATCTTCAGAATCTAATTTGGACCAACCACAAATAAGTATACAATAACCACATAAATGTATTTTTATATAATAAACTTTACTCTTTTCTATCTTATTTTTCTATATCTCATTTATATTTGCCATTTTCATGTTTTTATCTTGACAATGCATTATTGGAAATGGCATTTAATGACTAATTCTGCAGCAAAGCAAGTCACAAATAAATACATTTTAATTAATTGGCATAAATGCAAATTAGATTTTCCCTAGACCAAAAATAATTTTAAAAATATATTGTGAAAAATAACATTTTACAAATATTAACCTATTTGTTCTCAACAAGTAGGAGTAATCCAAGTTTAATGATATGACATAGGACATTTATAAGATAGGTTGAGTCTTCATGTAGTATTAAAGCTTGAGAGAAATCTCTGAAACAATAAAAGTTTCTGAAAACTTCTGTATGCCTGCCCTATAAAAAACTTAAAATAAAATAAGTAGTTAACATGATAATTTGCTTCAGATAACTGAAATCTATCAAATAGCAGAAGGAACAGACATTATCTTCTCATAGACAAGGTATCAATCACTACAGAGTATTGCAAGGCAGAGTGTGAAGAACTAATAACCCAAGATGACCAACATTGGGAAAAGGATGTCCCATTCTTAACTTTCCATTATTAGAAATGTTCAAGCAGTGACATACCATGAGTCAGGGATCTGAAATAATTAATCTAAGTATTTATTAAGAAGTTGGCTCAGAGAGTTACATTTCCTTCCATCCAATTCCAAAATCTTAAGGTAAACAATTTATTTTTAAAATATAGCCATTATTTTAATATCACTGAATACATTTACACAGTTCCAAATTTATAATTTCACATTTAGAAAAGAGTTGGACATAGTAATTTGTTCTACCCAGACACCAACTGTATACCAAAACTTTCTTTCTACAATCTTACTGAATAGCACAGCCACAAATCCTAGAATATGAGTCAACAGGCCATATTTCAACTTAATAATTTTTTTTAAATTAAGAAGAGAAAATTGTTTGTTCAACCACATGTAGCAAGCCTAGATCATAACCAGAATTAAAAGTTACCCCTCCTGATTCCAAAGAATCAGAAAATAATGGCCATCATTACTCAATCACTCAATTCAAGCCTCATTGGCTTCTCCTCATGTAATCCTTAGACATCTAGTTTCTGAATCCAGTCATTGACAGGTATAGGATGATCCGTTGGCTCTTCGAGTAACAATTGTGAATGTGTTTCAGAGTTTCATCACTTTCAGACCACATCCATGCATGTTGGTCATTGTCAGGACTAACCTTTTTTTCCTATTCTCATACCAATGAGCCAGATTTCCTTATGGCAGGATGGCAGGACTTACCAGGTCATCTCCCTGTAAACATATCTGCTGTGCTGCCCTTTGATTCCTGGGTTTTTCTTACACAGGAACGTGCACTCAGTTTGGTAGACAAGACCTTTACTCCTTCCTCCCTCTCCCTGATGGATGACAGACTATTGCAACAAACACTGAGCAGTCCCTCCCTGTGATTTCTGGCTTTCCCAGTGACATGCTCCATAACTTCACCCAAGCCATTCACCCTTCTTATGAACAGGGTCCTTCAGTGGTGAACTGGAGGTCATTGGTTTCACCAGACCCTACTCAGGAATCACTGAAGTCTGCACTTCAAAGTACCTTCAGACAAGAGAAGTATTATCGTTATTATTGTTGTTATTTATGACTAATACAGCTGCAGAACTTGGAGATTTACGATCTCCCCGTGGGTTTTACTGTGGCCTCCAGAACCTGAGATTTAATTTTAAAAGAATTAAATTTCCAGTCTGCTTTTACAGGGGTGACGGCGAGTACGGATGCTGACAGACTGTTGTCTTCAGAGGCAAAATCCAGACGCACGAAGACAATGCCGCAGCTCAAACAGGGGGTGACCCTTTCCCATTCATCTTAATGGAGTGTTAAACTTGAAGCCTAATTAGGTCCACTTAAATGCCAACGTTATTATACTTTTCTCTGCTTATCTTCATACCAGAAACAATCAACTAATGCACTCATTTAATCTGAGTGCGCGCAGCGATCACATCCAGACACCCTGTCATTTTGATAGCCTGCTTTGCAGTCATAAAAGTACAAGTTTTAAACTTGCACTTTGGTTGTTTTTAATTATCCACATAATTAGATTACTTTCTATTACCTTGAAATTTTGGAGGTGAGACCGCATGCACATACGCATGACGTTTGTGAGGCAGTGGGCCCTGACCACTATTCCCACAAGCAACTGGTATCAGACTCACTCCCAGGATAACAAACTAAGATGTGTTAAATGAAAGATCCCATTCCTGCTCTTCCGAGAAGGTCAGCTTTAGAGTTTATACATTGTGTCTGTGCCTGAGCTTCCCACGTTCCCTTTCTAATTCATTGTTGCTGCCTGGACTCCATTTTAATTTTTAATTCCTACAACAAACCTCGGGAGAAGCAGAATTTAAAATATATAAACCCACACTTGCCTACTCTGTACCAAGGGAATCCAGATCTAGGCGCTCAATTAAAAGCCCTTGACAACCTTATAAAAGATCTCGTAAAACTGTATTTATTTACTCACCGCTATAAGGAGATCAGTCTGTTTTTCTTTAATGGTCTCTGTGCCAAAATGGCATACAAGAAGATTTTTGGAAGTTCATCGCCCAGGCTTATGGACAAAGACATTGGCGGATATCTTCAAGATGGGACAGATTTCCTGCCCCTCTGCCTACACACTCTTTCACTGGGTGTCAAAGAGCATGATGCTTGCAGGAACCTTTTCCAAACATGTCTGTGATCGATGCTGATAGGACACATCTTGGTTTTTTGACCCTTCCTAGACAAACAGAAGATTATATTTCTTAACCCCTTTTGCAATTGGATGGGACTATAAATAATTGGGACATGGAAGGATATTTTTTTGGGGGAAAGATACTTGACAGCCACTGCCTACTCCCCAGTACTTTCTTTATCAATTTAGACAAACCCTGATGCTACATGTTGAGATAAAAGTGCCATGAGATAGACATAGCCTGAAATGCTTGGTCCTCACATGGATTGGCCCTGGGCAGGCAAAAGGCTCACATGACTGAAAACAATACCATTTTGGTTAACCATTAAGATTTTGGTATTATTTGTTGCTTCAATATTGCCTAGTCTTTCTGATCTAAAACCATGTCTCAGAATTAATTTTTAAGCCTAACCTCACTAGATGGATATCACATATAACGGTCATCACTGCCCTCTTCCAGCATTAAGTACAAGCGAGTGATCAAATGAAGATGCAAAAGTCACTCCAAATAGTTCATCAAGCACTGATTTCACTCCTCATTGTTGACTCCCTTGTGTCTTATACTTTGACCTTGAAAGAAGTAAACTAAGTCACATCACAAGCTGCTCTTTTCCACCAAGGAAGAGACTTTGAAGACAATGGCTGTGCACAATGCTCAGGGCATGTTCTGAGACAGAGAATTGATATCCAAAGACAGGCCAGAGTCAGAGGGTTGGGAGGAAAAAAATCTCCTACATAAAACGCTAAATTTCAGATTTGTATTATCTAAAGAGTAACCAGAGCAAATGTCCATTAGCTAGTTACAAAATAAGAAATTACCCAGAGGGCTATTAAAGAGAATAGAAAAAACAAAAGGCATCATAATCTTTAAAAAGGAGACTTACATGAATAAAAACATCAAATGATATCTGAATTGAGCGAGGCAGTATTTTGATTGAGCCTTTTAGATGGCACTCTCAGACATCTAAACTCTGAAAACAGTTGCTCTGACCACTTTGCAAGACAAAAAAACGAATTTTTACTTTGACAGGAATATGTTTAATGTGTTTACAATAAATCAGGTCACATGGTTTCTGACTTCAGAAGGAGTTTGTTTCCCACTTACACACTCAGTTAAGAAAATTCCCTAGATGATACATAGATACTAATGAGCTCCAGCAGGGACTTAAGGAGGAAAATGAGCCTTAGGGAGCCTTGGTAGGAAGGGAGGAAAGTGTGAAATGGAGAGAAATGAAGAAGCGACCACTGGTGAACGGGCAGGCCACGCAGTCAGGAGCCCCTTGAGTTATCTCAGTAAGGATCAGCTTGGTTGCTGCAGAAGATTGCAAGCCAGGAAGACGGTGTGTATAGTGAAAGGCACACTCACATCAGAGTCCATTGGGGCTGGGAAAACAACTCCCCAATTACCATCTCTGACCTTTGGTATGTCAGTTACCCCATCAGCAAAAAATACCTACATCATAGTGTTAGTGTGGGAATTAAGTTTTGGATAAGACCATGCATGTAATGTTCCTAATACGCTGACCACACAGAGTAGGTTTGCAGTGAACATTAACTCCTACTAAATTTGCATGCTATGTGAATTTCGCTTGGTAATAAAAACCATATGTACGCAGCAACTGGTGGGAAGAGTGGTACAGGCGAGTGCCTACGATGATTGGGTTTCCCTCGTCAGCAGGGAAACACAATTCTGATGTTTCTTCAGCCGAGCTCAAGTCCTAACTGACTGAGATAGTGTGAGTATTTCCCGGGGGCATATACTGTATATGATGACATGGAATTTTTAGGATAATTTGCACCTAAAATTTCATTTAGAAGTTTACCCATCAACACTACATAAGGTGCAACTCTGCTGTTATAACACAGTAAGGAACCCTTGTGCTGCAGTTTGTGAAGGAACACTCAGTTTCGGCTAAGCACGCCTTTTATGTGTTCCCTCCTCCACCATGAAAAGTAACATGGTGTTGCAAAGACTACAGCACTGGCCAGTAGACCTGGGTTCAAATTTTAGCTTCTTCATTTACTAGCTCTGACATAAAAGCAAGTCCTGAACATCTTTGAACTTCCATTTTCCCATCAATAAGGTAGGATAACTCAGAGGAATGTAGTGAAGCAAGCAAAAAATATGGATAACTCAGAGGAATGTAGTGAAGCAAGCAAAAAATATGAACTCTCTCTCGAGCCCCTTAACCCCTATAATTTTAATAAACTTTATCAGAACATTCTGTAATTTGTGTGTAACTCTCTCTCTCTTATGAGTTTCTCCAAAGCAATAGCTAGGTTATTTTATACTTTGTAACCCATCCACATATTTGGAACGAGAGAGTTAGAAATTTGGCCATGGAAGAAGAAATCAAAAGTGATCATTGTTGAGCACAAATGAAATAAAGAAAACTATATTATCCCTCCCCTTGTTATCCTTTTCAACCCCAACAAGAACTGGAAGAAGTCATCTGTAAGTATTATCGCAGCTCCTTGGCATCTGGGCTTTCCACCTATTCCTGCAGGATTCTTCTTAAGTCCTCCTCTGAGCCCTCCAACCCCACAAAACTTGAAAGATGAACATCTAAGGATGAGTTTCCATTATTTTTCTGATGCCACAAGCACTAGAATTCTGCTCATTCCAAAAAAAGGCAGTCAGTTTCTAAAGTAAAAAGAGTAGCTCCTCTGAACCTAAACTTAATTTCCATGACAGTCCAATGATCCCTTTCAAAAGCTTTACTTGGATCTGGAGGCATTTATTATTTAGGGATGGGAGCTCACTCATAATGATTTGAATATAGAGCTTGATTAGATTATTATGAAGCACATGCATGGAAAGAAGCTACTTCCAGTGGATCACAAAGTGTGATCCCCCAACCAACATTCTCTGCACCACCTGCAAACTTGTTAAATATGCAGATTCTCGGGCTCTGGTTCCAACTTTCTGAACAGAAAGTCTCAGGATGGGACCAAGCAATTTGAGTTTTAAACATTCTCCAGAAGTTTCTGATGCATGCTAAAATTTGATAACCACCCATTTGAACCATTTACATATATTATACCATCCTGAGTTTCCATTGTTCAGGAAAGTTGGTGACCTCAAGAATACTTGGTCTTGGCGTTAGATGAGTCATACCTGAGCAAGTTGGGTATTAGTAGACAGATATTTTGGAATACTTTTCACTGACCCAAACAGGACTCAGCCAAACTCCTTCCCTCAGCTTCTTTTTATCTTCAGTATCACTTTCCTTTGCCCCCTCCAATTTAGCTGATACCCTCTAGTGAGACCACTGGTTCTTAGTATTTGAGGAAAGAAACAACACCTGATGTTTAAACTAACCATGGTGGGTAGTTCTCTCTCTCTCTCTCTCTCTCTCTCTCTCTCTCTCTCTCTCTCTCTCTCTCTCTCACACACACACACACACACACACACACACACACGTGCGCTCATGCAATCTATTTGGTTGCTAAAAGAAATTCTAAGTGTGTAGTCATATCTGAACTATGATATGTATTTCACCCAATTGTTCAATGGACCAAATCCCAGCGACCTCAACATTATTCAATTCAGGCAGATTTAATATTCTTAGCTACATAGCCATGGCATCTACCTGCTTTCAGTTTTGTTCCTAGAAATATTTCTGTGTCAGCCATCTCTAGTTTCAAGATGAGAGCTTACACAAGTTAGTGGTAAATGAATTAGTATTTTTAAAAGTCAATACTTGTGGAAATTGTTTCCTAAAGGCTAAAATTCATGAATCAATGTAGACCTATGTTTTATTTTCAATTTTAAAACAAAACCAGATATTATAGGTTGCTCTGTAAATCAATTTACATATCAGTAAATAGTCACATGCAAAGGCAAAGTTTTGATTTC